CCTTCTGTCTCCTCAGTTCCCTGTTGTTTGTGGGTAAATATCCACCTGCTATTTTACAGTATTCCTGCTTAAATTGGCAACCAGCTGCCTCTAGGAAATAAGATATTATGTTCAAGTATAACTGTTTTATCACTGAGAAAAAGACTGAGTCGAGAAAGTATATTCTTAAAATAGCTTCTTTTAAAAATAAAACCATCAGTGTGATATAACAGTAGTGCTGAGAATTCATCTCTTCTAAGGTGTAAGCTTGAGGTAGACAAAGCATCCTTTGGTGAGTTTTAAGACATTTCACAAAGCAACAGGATCAGACCTAGTCTAACATCAGTGATCACTTCTCAGTCAAACTAAAGAATTAGCTGCTGAATTGCCTCTCTTGAGAGCGTTTTTATTTGAAACTTTTATGGCCGTTGGAACTTTTGAGACTCTTCTATAGCAAATTGCCATGGTCTGGGAGCTGAAATTTTTGGACCAGCTGGATGCTGCCTGTCTGCTCAGTAGAGTGCTGGTCGGATATGCCAGAAAGCAGGAGCACTTAGCAAGAAGGCCATGCACTTCTGATTGGATACACACATAAATAAGACCACCCTGACTGGTACAGGAAGAAAAACAAAACATCTAGGCATCCCTGGTCAAATAGCAGCCCAAAAGGAAAGGGAATCCCTAAGCCAAGAATAGGTGGTAGAATTTCAGGCACGCTGGTCCATGCATGGAGTGGAAGAGATTTGCCCAGGAGGTGGGGGTGGAGAATGTGGGGTAGGATACTGTTGTGTATAGCTGCCAAGCGAACCCTATTTCACAGAGGCCCTGTCACTTACATTCGTGTTAACAGGTGAAACAAATAGTTAATTTTTTCATTCAGGAAACATCAAGATTGTGATACAGGCAAAAAACAGTATCTTATAGATGTAGCAGATTAAGGCCCAAAGAAGTTTGATGGCCTTCTTATAGTCCCAAAGAACTTAATAATGTAAGCAATTGCATAGTAGCAAACATTTCCAGACCGAAGGTGAAAATTTCCCTGCAGGCAGCTCTGATCCACAGCATTTTTCTGAACTTGAAAGGGGACAACAAGATATGCTTTATAGAAGCCCGTCTCTATTCCCTCCAGGTCAACATAAAAGTCATAACAAATCATAACATTTTGAAATTCAAGAAAATCTAATAAAGTTCAACTCCTCCTTTTCACAGATGAAGACGACAAGGCCTCAGGGAATACAGTGGCCTCCTTAAAGTGACCCAGCTATCAAAGTATATGAAAATGCTAAAACTTTCACCTGAGTCATCTGATCTCAACTTGATATATCTCCAACTCAAAAAAAATAAAAAAAGATAATAAGCAACAATAATAGAAATAAAATTTCCATTTATTCAAAGGTAGGGAACATTCATCAGCCACTACAATTTCATGGAAATACCAGCCTTGCATTTATCTTCTTGAAGCTATCGACAAGCCCAGGTGATCATTTCCCTTGGTGAGTACCTGCTATATATGGCTAGGATTTGTTTACTGACTCTAATGGGAGCCTGTAATTCCTTTACTGACTCTAATGTAACTCTAAGCTTTCCAGGAATTGTGCCATATTCAATGCATCCTTCTCCTTGTTGGTTTTATAAATTCACAAGGTAAATTAGAAAATATCTTCCTTCTCCTACGGAAACCTGAGATTGCTGCTTGGTATATTTAAAGCACTGTGAGGAAAAAGCAGGAATAAATGCCAGATGGAGAACAACCAGGCCTCTAGAGGAATTCTCTAAGCCCATGTGTACTTCCTACATGCTCTACTCTACTGCTGCAACTCAGTGTTTGCTCTTGATTCTCACCTGTTTCCATTTCCTGGCACCTGCTTCCGGGTCTCTGCATCCACGAGAGCCTGTCCTAGTTGGACACACTGGAGTTGTTATGCTTCCATTATCTTGAGCACATGCCCACTTCCCTTTCGGCCACCTTCCTCAACTCCCACTGCCTGCCACAGACTTCCAGTTACCACTCATCCTAGTCTGTCCTAGGTATGAGGGACAACTAAGCTCCTGGAGCAGAGGTTCACACATGGATAAGATTTCCTGAAGTAAGTAGTTACTTATTTTTTTAATTGAGTCACCACATTTTAGTGGTGCCCCAAAATTACATGTTCAAAAAGCTACTACCACTTATTAGCTATTACCATCATTACTTTATTTAATGAATGATATTTCTTGCAGGTTCTCGGGGTTTTTTTAATAAATTGTATTTTAACTCAAAAAGAGTAAGAAAAGCATTAGCTTGTTATTTAAAATTAACTTGATGAAAAACTGAATATGCTGTCCTTCATTTTCTTATTTCTCCTCAGTTGAGTGAAAATTTCATCACAAAGTTTAGGGGAATGCCACAAACTCAGTAATCAAGATAAATTATATTTTAATGAAACCGAATTAATGCAAAAATCCATCCATTTTGAGCAAAGTATCACAATCATCAATAAAGACAGGATCAGTATTATACTGAAGTTTCCTTTTGCTACAACACCAGCAAGGCTCTGCCCGCACTGGCTTGTGACTCAAGCTGGCAACCATGGTGGGGACAGTAGCAGTTAGATGGTGTTCACATTCAGCAGACAGTGCTGTGCTGACTTAACACAGGGGCCACAAGGGTACTCTCTGTCCCTAGTGTGGTCTACCAGCTCATTGATATCTAGTGTCTCAAAAGAAGGCATACTCTCAGGGCCCCTTTCAGGGGTGTAGGTTGGGCAAGGCAGACTAACCAGGGTTTTCCTTATTTAAAAAAAACTGATGAACTTCTTGAAGAATGAAGGGGGATGTGAGAACCAAAAAACTCAGGTCTGAAAACTCTTCAAGGAGGAAAATAGGGCTGTCCCTTTAACACCTGCTGTGGGTGCCAAATGGATAAAGTGTCCATTCTGAGGGGATAAAGAGGGTCAAGCCCATGAGCTCAGGCTAGGGACCCTCTTTGGAAGTCAGCAAAAGGAGTCAATGCCTTAAGGGGGCATTCTGATTCTCTTCCTGCCATTGAGGGAAAAAAGAGGCATATAAAAAGCACACTATATCTCCCTGAGGGGTGTTGAGACTGTATTTATTGAGCACTCCCAATGCTCAGCACTTTGCAGGTATTATCTCAATTCATGTTGATAACATTGATTTGAGAAATGCATTATCCTTTTTTCATGATAAAGAAACTAAGGGTCACTAAGGGTCATAGTAGTAGAGCTGGGACTTAAACTCCCGGGAGTCTGATTCCAGAGCCTCCATGCTTAACCACTGGCTAAACTGCCAGTGAAGGTAAGACAGGTAGGAAACACATACCCAAAATAATATTGATGGAAGGGTGTTTGAAGAACATGCAGTCTGTCAGTTCCTCTAGACATTTCGAATTTCAGCCTTGGATCAAACAAGAACACTAGCGAGCAGTACAGCCATCAGCTTGACATTGAAGGACATTATAAACCACCACTGAAGGACAAACAAATCTCACAGAAGATGCTGTTGAAGGCATCATCCACTGCCTTGACACAGCATCTTCCTTAGCAACACCCAAGGGCAAATACTTCCTGTTACTCTTAGCATCAGGAAAAGCTGCGTTCTCTTCAACAGTCACTTGGTTTGTAAATGCAAACAGAGCAAATTCTGCTCCTGTTTGGTGTCCATCTTTGTTATGGCTGCTAGGAGTTGTTAAGCCAAATTCGTATCCCACATCTAGAAACTCTCCAGAACTATATACCCCTAACACACCTTTTGGTATATACTATGCTCACATCTTACTGTATTAGTTTCCTACCTATAATCTCCTGTGTTCCTGATTTTCACAGCTATTTATCTTTTCCTTCATTTATTACACTCTCTCTAATCTCTTATGGAATGAGGTGTTGTATAAATGAATAATAAACAGTTTTCTTTTTTTTTAATTAATTGGAAATGACACCTATTCAAGTCCTTGGATCCCAGGTCAGAGGAAAGCCCCGACTTGGTCAACCAGGTAGTGCCTGTGGGACCCAACAATCAATGGAAGCATTGACAACACAGCACCCAGCAGAGCTACAGTATAAGTGGGAAGGGTGAGTGATGGCAGTGTTCATGTTCGCAAAGAGAGGAACATGAGTACTGCCCCAAAGAGCATTTGAACCACTCTGGGGACTCTACCAATGAGAAAGGGAGGACTTCAGAGGGCTGGGTTTCCATTCACAATTCTGGTACAGGCTCAAACCTGAGACTTCTGTTAGCAGAACCCACATACTCTTGAGACCATCATTCCAGGCTACAGTGTCCTGTAAGACACGATTATGTACATGAAAGATTGAGCTGTGTTTTTGCACTGGTTTGCCTCACTAGTTTGCAGTTTGTAGCCCCAAATCATAATTGTGCTTTTAGGTACTATGTTTATCTCAGGTCTACAAATCACTGGGTTATTTCAGTTTTGAGGGAGCCCTCAAAGCTACCAAAGCTATTCAAGGCACTCAAATCTTTAGTTGTTGATTCAGTGATATTGCCCTTGCAAAGCCAGATTGATTGGTCAGTTCCAAATAGAGAGGGATGCCAAAGGGGAAGGTAAGTTTGCCTAAAGAAGAACCACATAAAAAGAGTTTTGATCAGAGCCTTCCTCGCTCAGGGTGCAGAAGCAAGTACACTCTAAAGTCTGCATTCAGTGGTCCCCCACCCCCACCCCCACTGGACCCTGACTGACAGAATGATTAAGTCATGCCTGTGTAGGGGCTAGAGCTTAATGATGCATAATCATGTCAACACTTTTCCTAAATGATTATACCTGCCATAAGAAAATGCCCTATGCTAGATTGGAAATATCTGGAGAAGATTTTCATGTCTCTGAATCAATCAACCAACTAACAAGTATTTACCGTTCATCACCCATGAGTTCAGCACTGTGACAAATTTGTTGGAGAGGACACAAAAGAAACCAAGACCTGATCACCGTCCTCAAATAACTTACTCTTCAACTGGAAAGACAAGCCAGTTATTAAAAATTAAAGTATCTTTATTATCAAAGCATTTGACATTAGGGGTAAAAGCTTAAAAAAGGAAAGAAAGCACTGAGAGTGGGGGTTCTTAAAGCAGAGGTAGAATTTGAGCTGACCTTGAAGAGGAGGTAAAATTTAAAGAAGAGCCAAAAATGAGCAAAAGCTCATTCCAGGTTGGGGAGAAGGGAAGGAAAGCTGAGAGCACAACCAGCCATGGTAGTTTTGGGGCTGCCCCTGGAGTCCTGCCGTCACTTTGGTTGGCTTAAGAGACACTGTCAGACACTCCAGGAAAGGAAGAGCATTTCTCCCGAAACCACCCAACCCATACAGCTGTGCAGGGGCAGCTCCAGGTTTCACTTTCCTTCTTTACCAGTTGGACTTCATTTGATTCCTTTCCCTTCCATGTGTGTCTTGCCTTCCCAGTTAACTTCTGAGTTACAATTTTGAAAGCACATTTATTAGGGTTTGTAAAGAATGTTCAAAATAGAATTACTATGTATTTTTCAACAGCAAGCACTGCCCTTCCAGAGGGCTCTGCTGCAAGGAGTACCGCGCGTCGCGCTCTGCAGTGGGAAGAGGGTACACCTTCCAGTTAACAAATTAACACAATACGGCTCCATTTGCCCCTCTGCGTCTGGCCACCTGGGACATCTGCGTTTTCCTTGGAGATGACGATGGAATTCTCTTAAGGAATGGGGAACACATGTATTCTTGGGGATGCGGGCAGGGATATAAGGGACTCAGAGCCAGTCAACATGCAGTCCCAAAGCAGCCAGCGATGTTCCTGGAGCACTGCGAGCTGGGTGGAGCCTGCGTTCTCCCGCCAAGCGAAGGCCGTCAGGAAAACCCAGAAGGGGCAGCACATCCTGTTTCTTCGTAATGACTCTTCCACCGGATTGTCTGAGACATTTTGCTGTCCTGAGGATATAGGGCTTGTTTCTCAGCCTTTTCCAGTTGGGCTCTTCATTGCTTCCTGCCGGTTTCTATTAAAATGGTTTACTGGGATCCAAAAGCGGCAGCTTGCTGCATCCAGCTTTTTATTTCTTTTCTCCCACTCCCCTCTTCCCCTTCCGGTATTCCTAAATCATCCACCATTACCCAGGGGATCCCTTCCTGTAAGTCTTCAGAGAGAAACAATTCCTGGGTTGGATAGAGAAGCAAAGCATTATGTGGCTCTAACTCCATCTCAATTACTATTTGGCACTACATTTTATGAGTGAGAAATGCAATAAAGCAGCAATTTCTAAATTTAGCTAGCATTATGTAATGCAATAATTTATTCCATAAGACTGTTGTTGATATATCACCTGAACTATTGATTAGTATGAAAAGGCAGTGTACAGGAAGCCATATAAATCAATCATTATTTAAAGTGGTTAATCAAATATCTAATTTGTTTCCATGACTTTTCCTCCAGTAATCATGCTGCATTATCATACAATGCACCTAAGGACTGTAATCCAAATCCACAAACTAACACCAGAATACCACCTAACGAGAGAGGCAAAGAGATGACTTTCTCACCCTATTGTTTGAAATGTTGGAAAAGGCAATGAAAGTAGAATAAATCATATTTTTCTTCCATACATCTATCCTCACTTTGCTCTCTCCCGGAATAACAATGAGCTGACACCACTTAAGGATTACAATTACCTGTCATCATCATCACCATGTGATGAGGAGGCTACTGCCCATTGCAAACGCTGCTTCTGAAAGCAAAAGATGCTCTTCTCAGAGAATTTTTGTTTGTTTTTTTGCTTTATAGGCTCCTTCAGGCAGAATGGGGCAGACAAAAAAAGAGATGGAAATTCAGTCAGGAAAACAATTAACCAGCACAGCTTCACTGCGCAGTAACATCAAATCATACAGCAATTAGAGCTCTGCAAAACCCCCATTTGGTTGCATGCACATTTAAGGACGAAAACTGATATGTACACTGAGCTAGCTGATGCTGGACTGCAAATGAAAAAATCAAAGAGGCAAACATTGGAAAACCTCATTCTCTGCCTAATCACAGCTCTAGAATGGTGATTTGAGCTAACAGTATTTCTAGTCTGTACATAAGAAAATCCATCTTCTCTCTCTTCAACCTTTGGTAGATTGCCAGAGAATTATCTACTATTCTTTTCTCACACATTGAATATAAAAAAGTTAATGTTCGCTGAAAAAACATACTGCACTTGTTGACTAATAAAGGGGTTAATTAGTCCATTGTCCTCACAGATTACCAAAGCTTCAATTGTTAAATCGGGGAAAGCAATAACTAAAGCTTTCCAAAAAGCAAGACAACAGTGCTTTTAATAGTGGAAAAATCTATAAGTCTTTGTGTTGCTGAGCTTTACGACACAAAAGAAGTTTACCTTTATCTTGTGAAAATGCCAGTGTCAATGTCATAATCTACAAAATATTCATGTTTTCTTTCCATATTTTTCCTAACTGACGTTTCTCTCTTGGAAAGATTTTGGTACAGTAGGAGCTAATTTGTAATACAGTAGGAATCTCCCCAAAAGAAGCAATCCACAAAGGCTCATTTTTCCTTGTCTGTTTTGGGAGGTATTTCTGTCATTTGACCATGAGTTGAAAAAAATAATAAAGTGATTAAGACATCTGCCTCCCTTACTTTTTTAAATAAATTTCATTTTAGAATAATTTTGATTTACAGAAAAGTTGCAAAGGTAATACACAGTTTCTGGATATACTTTACTGAGTTTCCCCATTTTTTACATCTTACATTACTATGGTACATTTGTTTAACACTAAGAGACCAGCATTGATAGATGGCTATTAACTAAACTCCAGACTTTATTTGGATTCCACCAGTTTTTGTATTACTGTCTTCTCTCTTGTTTGGGATCCAACCTATTGGTACCACACTGCATGTAGTTCCACGTCTCCCCATTCTCCCCTGGCCTGTGATGATTTTTCTTTCCTGGTTTTTCATGACCTTGACTGTCTTGAGTACTGATCAGGTATCCTATAGCATGTCCTTCAATCTGAGTTTCTTTCTTTCTTTTTTTTTTTTGCTCTCATGCCTAAAGTGGGGTTATGGGTTTTTAGAACCCATATGGATATCAGATGCCCCTGCTTTGAAACAACAATAAGGGCAATTCATCCCCTTATCACTTCATATCAGCGGGTATGTGGTACCTACCTGACGTCACAGGGAACAATAGCCTTCATCCTTGGTTAGGGTAGCATTTACCAAGGCTCACCACTCTAGATTTATTGTTTCTCCCTTTCCTTTATTTATTCTTTGGAAGAGAGTCACTAAGTCCAGTGCACACACAGGAAGGGTGGTAGGTGAGAACCATCTGGAGAGGGAAGTGTCTACATTAATTTTTTTGGAGGGGGGAGTATCTAGGAATTATACTGTAAGAAAGACTTGTATCTTCTCCCCAGTTTATTTATTCAATCAGCTGCTTCCCTTAATTTCAAAATAAGACAGATCATTGAAATGATGGACATCTTCACTGTGCAAAGCACTAAGAAAACACATTAATTTTAAAGAAATATTTCCAAGGCCTTTTCAACAAACCAAATATAATATTCATTTAATATGCCCAACAGAAAATGTACACATGAAGTTATACACCCACTCTCTGACTTCCAGCAGAGCTCAGTGAGCACTATACAAATCAATTTATCCCAAGCAGTTTATGAAGACAAGCAGCCATTTAAAACTTCGAAACATCTGGTTCAGCAAATATTCCTGTCACCTCTCAACCTTACTCAGCTACATAATTATCTCTGCAGAGGAAGCAGGTGTCCAAACCCTTGTTTGAAGGCCCCATTTGGCATCTTCTGGCTCCCAAAGACAACATGTGGGTCATTTCCTGTGTCAATGATCTCCATCACAACTACTCTCTACCTTTCTCCAGTCATTAGTTATTACTCAAGCCTTCAGCAAACATTTGTTTAGCACTTACTATATGCCAAATGCTGAGCTGGGTATTGGAGCACCAAATGGAAAGGAAAATTACATTAACAAATAAGCTTAGAGAATAGCAAGTTGTATATGAGACACATCAGTGGGGTACAAAGGGGACAGAGGAGGACTAATCCATTTGCCTGAGAGGGGAAAGAATGAATGGCTGAGTAAAGATGCTGCGGAAACCGGGTCCCAGGCATGATGCTATGCTAGAGAAGGGTAGGCCATGTGAGTGAAGGATGACCTAGGTCAAAGCAGAGCCTTGAGCAAAAGCACTGAGAACTTTCAAGAGCTGATGACATGAGATCACATACCTTCTGTCACCAGGTGATCAAAGAGATCATCTCTTTCTAAGAGGATCCTTGGAAAAGTCCTGTCCCCTGAAAGAGTCCACGGTTTGCTTGATCCTTTCAGTGGTTTAAAGAACAGAATAATTGACCAAATGATGTATGGAAAGTACTTTGACCCTTATTCTATGGACATGCCACAAGATTACACCTTACATCTCACCCAATGCAGAAGAGAAGGAAACAGAATAAGACACATATTTACCCAACATTAATCAAGCTTCTGTCATCTCTGAGTACTGTACTAGGTACCTGTATATGTTCTCTCATGTTTTGAGAGAATGTTTGTTGTTATTATTATCATCTTTTTACAGATGAAGAAATTCAGTCTTACAGGGTAACGTGCAGGTTAGACACCGGAAAGGGGTGAAAAATAAGATTTGAATCCAGTTCTGATTTTGATTGAGCCTGATTTCCCCCTCTGATATTTCTTTTCTTTTTGGTAGGTGAAAGAAAGATTTAGTAAGCAAAGGGGACTTATATTTGAGGCTTGTCTTGGGTACCTGCAATTCAATCAGACCTCCACACCTGCCTGCAGAATCTTAAGCATAATTAACAGGGTTCAGTCACAACTGTAGTCCAGACAGTCTCAAATAGATATAAATCTCCCAAGGCTATGTCCTTGAAGTGTCTCCTAGTGCGCCAATAGTGGGCAGGATGTACATTCCAAGCACAGGGGAGATGGGTAAGAAGCCTTTGATTGCCGGGGTCCAGCTACCAGGTCAACCAGTGGTCATGTCCTTTCAATGACCTTCAACACTCGAACCCTCAAGACTGTTTACACATACCCCTCTTCCACAATGTGCAGTGAGCCGTCTGCAAGGGGTTTCCTTTGGGTGGAGGTGGCTCATTTGGCGGCTAACAGGCTACACCAGAGGCAGATGCCCCAGCAACAACATAGGCATGTGCAAAAGAAAACACAGATTGTGATAATGATTCACAGGGTAAGTAACAATTTTTCCACCAATGACCCCATGATTCAAACCACTGTTTTACTAAGTGCCCTAGGCTGGGGTTGGATCACTCAGGAACGCTGTGTCCCCATGTGATTTAATAAAGACAACACATTAGCAGACTCATCAGGAATGAGCGCACAGCATTCTGCATGGATGATGGCACAGGTGTCTCCTTGCGGCAATAATAACGTCCAAGGCCATCCTGTTTCAAAGGACAGCTTTTCTCATTAGAAATAGTTCAGAGTTCAGTAACGACAGGCTTTGCCGGCTATCATCTAAGGCTTGCTGTGTGAATTTAGTAAAGGCTTCTCTGTGCTCCAAGGTCCTCCAGGCCCAAGGAGGGAACAAACACAGCTGTCAGATGGCCATACCAGTGCAAAACTACACACCCACCTGGCCTTGAGGAGAGGGAAACGGGCAACCATCCAATCATCATTACTGTGGGGCAGATTCTCCCCTGAGCCCAAGAAAGCCAGGCAGTAGCCCAACCTCCCAGGTAGAAGCCACAGTCAAAGATCCTTGTCACACAACCAGTGGGCCCGGTTCAGGCTGCCCTGTCAACATCTGGGCAGCACGACCAGTCAGTGCCAAAGCTGTCACTATCCCTTAATGTGACAGAATGCCTGCGCAGTCCCGGTGGTATCCATCCCACATTCCCGGTACCGTTGGATTGGTTCTGTTTAGAGTGACTTTTCTGTCCTAACGCTGAGGGACCTGGTGCTCAAAGGTCCATAGCTTGGGGTAACCCACATAAACCCATCTCCAACCTGAGCGTGGCTGCTCATGGCTCTGATGGTGGTATTTTTCGGACCCTGTGTCTCATCGGCAGTTTGATGGCTGCCTGTGTCCTTTAATTGACAGAGAAGGGATACCCATGCCCAGTGTTTGTGATGGCATGTGCAACGGGCCAGGTTTGGGGATTGGGACTGATGACGTCAGACAGTGAGGAGGACGCGTTCTATCTTGTTCTTCCTAATTGTGCTGATCAGGGCCCCCCAGTCCCCTCCCTAGAGCTAGGAAGCCCACTACGGCAGTCCCACCAAGCCCGCGACGGGCAGCCACCCACGTCCTCAACAGCTGGATCCTATGCTGAGGGATCCATGATACCCACAAACCATTGCAGTACTGGAGCAAAACCATGCACATTTGCATGTTTATTTTCTACAAGGTGAGAGTACAGCAGTTGCTGCCACTGGGCCTACAGAAAGTGATGGGGGATGACAATTAGGGGAAAAAATCAGTGTGAGGTTAGCAGGACTTGAGGAAATGGAAATCTGGAGTTCTGAGACCAAGTTTGAACAAAGTCGCTACACTTTGGCTCAAATATGAGTCAAACACCTAAGATCTAAGACATATTGATGCAGGGATGAAGAGGTGGGAGCATGACCTTAAGAAAAAACAGAGTCAGTGGGAATAAGAAACAATGGCGACACTCAAAATAGGCTGAGTGTCATGCACTTGAAAAGTCAAAATTAAAAATTCTGTCTGACAACAAGTCCAGGTAAATAACAGCGGGTCTCAGACCACAGAAAATAAGGCTGGTAGGAAGAAGAGAAGAGCTGCTCCCTGCCCACACCCCAGATATACGAGGGCTAACATGACAGGGCCTAGTCTCTTTTCCCTGGGTGACTGCCTTCTTTAGAAACAAAGAAACCCAATAGCAGTATCAGTTATTTTGAAACAAAAGTTAAGAGGAACAAAAATAAGTTAAAGAAAAACTAGAAGCAACCATATGTAATTATCTATATCATTTTTAAAATTACAGGGGACGCTCTAATAGAAGAGGGCTACTACAAACACACCCCCTCTTTCCCTGCCTTAGTTTTTAGTCAATCAAGATATAGACCCAGGAGTTAGAGAGATAATGAACATTTTCACTGAGAAAGCAGATATGGGGGAGTCCAGCGTAAGTCAGCAGTGGCCACGGACCTGCCAGCGCTCTGCCCCAGAAGCTGGCTGTCTCAGGGGCAGGCAGGGCTGACCATCTGCAGGCCTTCAGCTGGGGGGCTGCTCTTAAAAGAGGAACCAGAGGATGTGCTGTTTGCAGAAGGGGACAGATCCCATGAGATGGGTGAAAAGGGCTACCTCTTCTCCTAAATCCACAACTCAGGTAAGCATTAATCTGAAGAAAAGCCAGGTGCGGTACTCCAGTAGAGGTACCCCCCCGCATAGAAAACAGGAAGCGTAGAGAATGAATGTTCTCCCAAAACTAAGCACAACATCAAGACACAATCCTTAAAGAACAGACTGAAATATTTGACTGGATAAAAGCCATAAATGTCTACATGTGAAGAAGAAAAACTATATATGTATATAATTCTTGTTCTTCACTGTAGTTAGGGTCTATAAAGTCACCATGAGCACTGAATCAGCAAATACTGAAGCATTGTTCCTGGGGAAAACACAGGGCTGGGTTCCAGCAAGCCTCTGATTCTAATGTTTTAGTCACACAGTCAATACATAACCTTATTTTGTGTGTGTCCTACTTAAAGACACCTTATTTAATATACACTGTTGATTTACTAACACTGAATTCACAGCCAACAGCGCTATAACTCATGCTGCAGGAAGCTTATCTAACACATGTATTTTCTAAGGCACATCACAGCCATCTTGCACTTTGGGACACTACACAGCACTGCAGCACTGTCCTTGGGGGCCATTTTGAATAGCAAAATTGCAAAAAATATCCCACAAATATGTGAAAAACATGATATACTAAATATACTGTTAAAAAGCCACTTATTTGCAGCAACAGAGCTAAAACAAGAGGGCAGAGGACTGTCTTGTTAGACCTCAGCTAGGAATGTTCATGTCATGCAATTGCAATTTGTTCCCACTCTGTGCATGTCTACAAATGATCTCAAAACACCACGAGTATTGATTTGGGGTTACAAGTAAATTTTAGGGAGTATGCAGATTTGTAAACACAGAATCCACAAATAATGAAGATGGCTGCACACACACACTTCAAAGGCAAATGAAAAAATGAGAATTCCTTCACATATGTCAGATAAAAGATGTATTAATTCCTACATAAAGGTATTTTGTAAATTAAAACAAAAAGGCAAACATTCCAATAGGAAAAAAAAAATCAAAGGACTTAGGCAATATATGCTTAAAGAAAGACACATAATTTCTAGAAAAAAAAACTCTCTGCAACTTTTAAGTGAAACACAAGCCCCTCCTTCATATACACTTACACGCTGTGGACAGGAATAGAGCTGGGCATAACCATTCTGGAAAACAGTGAGGCAAGGCTTTAGGAAACTCATCTCATTTAACCCAGTAATTCCAATTTCAGTAAGTAATCCTAAGGAAATACATTATTAGAGATAAACAAATAAATAAATTAGCGCAAAGATACGTTCATTGATATTCTTTTGCACATTGTTTATAATATATATAAAGTGGGGAAATCTTATATTTCAAAAACAAAACACCAGTTAAATAAATAATGATATACCCACAGAATAGAATACTATACAGACATTAAAATGATGTCTAAATATGTCTCAATAAGATGTTATACATATATACAATAGAATATTATTCAGCCATAAAAAAGAATGAAATCTTGTTATTTGCAACAACATCCTAAAGGGTATTATGCTAAATGACATAAGTCAGACAAAGACAAATACCATATGATTTCACTTATATATAGAATCTAAAAAACAAAACAAATGAAGTCACAAACAAAACAAAAATAAACTCATAAACTCATGAAGAGAACAGACTGGTGGTTGGGGAAGAGGGGTGGATGAAATAGGTGAAGGGGATAAAGAGATACAAACTTTCAATTATAAAATAAATAAATCACAGGGGAAGAAAAGTACAGCATAGAGAATATAGTCAATAATATTGTAATATCTTTGTATGTTGACAGATGGTAACTACACTTACTAGGGTGAGCACTTAATGTATTTAATTGTTGAATCACTATGTTATATAATTGAAGCCAATGTAATGTTGTGTGTCAACTATATTTCAATACAATAAAATACCTTGACATGACACATGTGTACTTTCCTTCTGTAATTTTATTTAATTAAAAGACACATATTGTCATCGAGAATTGTTCTCAATCTGTAAGTGAAAAAATATTATAAAACAATATTCACACTATGATCTCATTTTCGTAAGTCTGCAAATATATGCACTAAAATGTTAAGAATAAACTACATCTTAGGGATGAGAATATCAGTATTTCTTAGAATTTCTTGTCTCTCTTTTCAAATTATTTCTATGATTACTACATACATCTTTTGAAGCAAAAATGTTTAACCTTAATGTCATATATCTGCAATGATCTCAGCATCCTTGATTTAAAAAGAAAGCTGGTCTTTTCTTCGGTGCTTCCAAGGAACTTAAGCATTTATATTTTTTCAAAAGAATTGGTAGCACTGAATAGATTAATAGGTTTGATAAGGAAAATAACCTTTTATGGCTGGTTTATGAGAAATTGTGTTTCTCTGTATATTTTCTTTCCTGCCTTCAGACATATGCCCAGTTCCCTTGGATTTCAGCTGCAGAAGCTCAGGCAGTAGACTGAACTTCACACACTCACAGGACAACACACAGGTGCCTTTACATTGTCAGCGGGATCTGCGCACTCTCTGCGCTCCAGGGCTTTTGTCGTTTTGCAGTGCGCTGCTGGCAGCCCTTCTCTTCAAGGCTATCAGTTTAGCTGTTGGGGAAGGTGTGGTAATCAAAGATGTCGTCTTCCCCTCTCACCATATGGAGCTATTGTAGAGAGTTTATGTCCTGCCATTTCGCTAACTATAAATAGAGCCATGTTGTTCTCTCTGTGATGTTAGAGTCTCTTTAAAATATAATGGCTATATTTTTTGCAGATATTCTGATTCCTGCAGCTTCTCCTGTCTCTCAACCATGCTGAGCATAGTCTATGCCTTATTTTCAAATCTAGAGTAGTCTGCTCTCCTTATGACAATAGATGTTTCAGGGATATGGCTCCAACTGGTCTCTAAGAACAGTGAATAGTCCTTCATCAACAAAATCTTACTGAGTAAGTCTGGTGAGCACTGCACACTGTGAGGCAGGGATCATGGGGAGATGTCAGCCCTGCCGGGGAGGAGCTCTTTATCCAGAAGGAGCTAATCAGCTCCCTGAGTTGACATCCTCCATCCAAAGGCATTCTCCCACCAGTCCTTCTGTCCCCCTTGTTTATTGTCCAGGGGGGCATATCTCTTTCTATTGAGAGACTGAGAACTTACCTCAGGTTTTTCAGAGCTAATGTTTATCAGAATAAACACACTCAGATCTGCCTGTCATATCCATGAGGCACTTGGGCATCTTCCTCAACTTCCTTGACCCAAAATTCTCCACTTCTAAGGACATTTTAGGCCCTGGGTGTGCTCTTCTCTTCAGCATGCTAAAAGCTTGGTGGATACTGAGTGTATTGATTATTTACAATGGAAGGATACTGAGAAATTTTCTCTCCAACTATACAGTAACCGGTGACATGTACCCAGAGCTGGGGAAGTCAGTGTTTGTACAATATTATATGTTGTTGAAGAAAAATAAAGAAGCAAATAATGACATTGTAAGATACAGTCTCTGTGTAACTTAGAAGAATAAGAATGGCTTCAGAGTCAGGCAGACTAGGTTTCATTTCCTGTCCCACTACCCACTAACTCAGTGGCGTCAGGCTTGCTACTTAATATTTCTGAGCATAGTCTTATAAATGAAGAAGCCAATGAAATAACGCCAACCTGACAGAGTTGCAGTAAAATTAAATTAGATAATGTATGTAAAGTGTGCTCCATTAGTCCTACCTCTTATAATTGTGAATGACTTTGAAAGAGAGTAACTTTCTGCTTCACTGGTATACAGCAATTCATGTATTGAGCAAGGTTTACTGAACTGCTACTAAGAGCAGGCTGATATAATCACTGGGGGATGAGTGAGTGTGGTTAGGGGTGGGAGGAGGCAAAGAGGAAGTAGTCCCTGTGGCACTGAAGTCAGTCTCACAGTCCAGCAAGAAGGGACAGGCATATTCACAGATAAACATGGTTAGTGGGTAAATTCTATAACAGATGTACTACAGACAGAAATTTACAGCAGGGGTTGATTAATGTCTGATCATTCGGCATTCGGAGGGGGCAAGGCTTCAAAGAAGAGACAAAGTACGGGCTGAATCTTAAAGTGTTATTAGGAGTTCCCAGACAGAAGCAGAAAAAGAAAGACTCAAAATTATTTGATCATGAAAAACTAATGGAAGTCCCCACTTTGGCAAATACCCACATGGTAAATACTCAGTGGTAGATACTCAGTGAGTATTTAATAAGCTTACCATCTAAACAAGGTAAAAACACATAAAGGCACATAGAAGGAAATACTAATTTCACAAATCTCAAACCACTGATACGCAAAAAATAAAATCTTTTTCTCCCGTAAAGCCTATCTTTGTTTCTTTGTCAATCTCCATATTTTTTGATGCAAGAAATGTGATCTAGTCACTTCTAGCTCATCACTTGCAGTTAATTCCATATTGTTTTCCGCAGTCATTTCAGGAAATGACTGCACATTCATCTGTGCAAAGGATGCCCCTCCCCCATCCTTTTCCAAGGATCATTTTCTTGATCTGTGAAATGGGGCGAGTTACACCTACATTAATGGAAGTTTTAGAGGCACTGCTTGTATGTCTCATAATACTAAGCACAGAGTATGTGCCCTGTATGTGAGGCCAGTAGCTATTCTCCCCCTTCACACTGATCTAGACCAAGGACACTCTTGGCACCCTCTCAACCAACTAAAAAGAATTACTTTATACAAGGAAAATACATCATAACAGGTGGTAGAATGGTATAGAGAAATACACTCACTCTGATAACTGAACCCTAAACCCTGTAATTCTCTACAGCATGAGACTCTGAACAACATGCAGTTGTATGTACAGTTCCATGTACAACACCCCTCGGCCAAGCAGAGCCTCACTCACCATCGCTTGGAGGAGACCTGAAGCCACTTTTTTAAAGTGCAGTACAGTGAAACACAAGTTTGCTCAGCACTTCTCTGGATAATGATGAACTGTGTATCAGTAAAACTTCAACCACAGGTATTTTATCTGATCAATTTTACTTGATCCATTTAATACTTCTAAGGAATACCTCATGGTCAAGAAGGCTTTTGAGATTCCCTAATGAGTTATTTAAACAATCTGAACCCAGGCAGTCCAATGTTAGCAGAAATAAATCAGTACACGGTCACTGTCCAGGATGCTGGCCAGAGTTCTATGGCAATGCTATCAGATTACCCTTATAATTGGCAGAAACAGTACCGCTCAAAGATAACCCTAGACTGTATTAACAAACATCTATGCAAACTATTTGTTACCTAATAAGGAGAGGTTCAAGGGAATAAGAGTCATAGAATTACTTTGCAAGCTTCACAGTCTTCAAGTAACCCAACTATGAGGTCTGTTCTGTGACCAGGTGGTCGAAGACCTAAACAGAGTCAGTAAGGTAATGGTGATGATGATTAGTGAGAAGAGTGGAAAGCAGAAAATGAGCACCAGCTGACAAACCAGAAAACTCCACCATTTGTGTTTTCTTCGGTCAGATCATGGTAAAGAGATGACTATAGGGATTTACCAAAATAATATTAGAACTTTAGGATTTCTCCAGGTTCCGTAGAATTAGGGACCAACAGGCCCAGGCTTGAGAAATCTCAGGTATGTAAGTTTTCTGTGGTTTCACTGAGGTCCTGTTGAAACCAAATTAAGTTGTAGGATGAGGTCTTTCTTTATTTGAATGATCCATCCTGTCTGGCTCTTCCTTTTCTAGATTATTTTTTTCTAAGCCTCAGAACCAAAGGGGAAAAAAAAAGGAACTAGTGCCTAGCTCAGGAGATGTGCCTGCTGAATATCCAGTCCTTCCATTTCAACCCAAAACCCTAACAATAGGATCATTTGACATTTGACACAGTTCTTTCAACCCTCTCTGCTTCTCATCTGTTCAATGGAAAACAAACACTAAGTGCTCCAGAAATCAGACTTACTCAAATTTTCTAGTAACTTGAGTCCTTAGAAAACAATGCAATAGCTTTCACAACTTCCATGTTTTTTAAAGGCTGTACAGCAAGAATCAACCAGTTCTCCTTTTTTCTCTTTCTCCCAGACATATGAAGAGGAAGAATTTTAAAACAGAAAAAAGATTAAAAGCAAAGTCTGATCTATGACCCACTTACAACCACTATTCCTTACCACGGGGGTTAAGTACCTACCTTCATTTGCTCCTGCCTGTTAAGCTTGTTACTATATTACCTGATAAAATTACTTCTGGATTAAAGTAACCATTTTGGATATGGAATTTGGGTTAGAATAATGGCACCTGCAAACATACACACATCTGTAGTAACAACCTATGAAAAAAAAAGAAAAATAGCTAAATTCTCCACCTAAAGAAAAATTTGTCCAGCAGTACAACTACTTGCAAGCTATGCTGAAAGTATGTCCAGATATTCCTGTAATTAAAATGTGATTCTGGAAACATCATTAGTACCATTTATACCCGTTATTGCACATACTAAGAGTTAAAATATATCAAATGTTGAAATATTAATGTTAACACTTTCTAAAAATCCATACCTGCCTCCTGTTAATTCAGGAGAGTCATGTAGACCTCAGACAACCTGAAAACAAAAAGAAATGCCAGTCGTCAAACTGAACCGTATTCTTGGTTGCCACACTTTGAAAACAGACTCAGAATCTGATCTCCAAACATTTTACCAATCTGAAGAAATAACAAGGAATGAAAAGAATCCTTTTTAGGAAAACATTGTCCAGTATTCTCATACATATGTGTATCTTTTAAATACTAAGAAAATGAATTTGGGCTATAAGAAGTTTGAATATAATCTATCATTTGTGTGACAGAAAGAAAAATTACTTCAGCTATTTCCAAAAATTGCTAAGTTCCATGTATAGGAGTTAAAAATTAATTTTTTCATTGAAACAAGATCTTAAAATAGCAGTTAGTCCTCCTAGACAAGCCTTCAGAAATCAATTTACCTTATCATATTGTTGAACTATTAGATATTTAAAAAGTATTAGCTAATGCTACCATATTTATCATTGCAATAGCATAGTAGCTACTACAATATTATCAAATCTCATGGCATAACTGGGCATGAAAAGTTGCATTGTAAATAGGACACAATAGACTAAAAGTAATACCAAGCATCATTTTTACTTCTAGAAGGCATATGTGGGTGATATTCTTTTTTCAAGCTTTTGCATTTCTATTTCTCTCACCTAGAAATGATTAGCTGGGTATTAAAATTCTGACTAATACCCAGAATTTGTCAGTACACAACTATAACCCCTCAAACCCCATAGACATTGTTTTATTGCTTTTAATTTCTTACCACTGGAAGATTGGAAATCCAAGGCAGCTTGCTTTTTAATCCATTGTTAATAAAATGTTGTTAATGCTGTGGCTGTTTGATGGAAGGAGGAGTGATGGCCAGATATAGGTCAGGATGTCTGTAGCACATAGTGTAAGAATATATCTGTGTGTTTGTATTGCAATTTTAAATCTGCAAACTCAGGTCTCTCTTCAGTTAAGAAATGTGATAATCACACTATATCTTTAATTATTTTCTGTTCATTTCACAAAAGGATTTTAGCAGAGAAGTTACATGGTCAGAATTTTTTTGTGAGCATTTCTGTGCAGGGAATGGATTTTGAACAGGACAAGATGAATACTGGAAAATAGATTAGAAGTCTCCTAAAAAACATCAAGAGTTGCAGAAAGCATTTCAAACAGAGGAACAGAGAAAAAGAAAGAGACAAAAGAAATATCTAAGAGGTAAAAATCTGAAACTACATAACTTAGTGATTAACTGAATATGCAGAAAGAGAGAAAAAGAAAAATTTGGAATGAATGTTCACATAATGTATGGGTGACAGTGTCACCGGTACCATCATTAATTATAATTGGGCATACAGGGGAAGGAGCAAACTGAAGTGTCCATGTGTTGTAGCTATCTATTGCTATGTAACAAACTACCCCAAATTTCAAGGTTTTAAAATCACAGTCATTTTTTTATCTTGTCAGTCTGTTATCTGGGCAGAGCTCAGTGGGGAAATCTCATCTATGCTCCCAGAGGTGTGAACTGTGGCCGCTTGACTGGGAGCTAGAGAATCTACTTCCAAGATGGCTGGCTGCTACTTGACATTTTTACAACAGGTTATCTGGCTTGCAAAAGCAAACTTTCCAAAACATGAGAAGGAGAAGCTGTCAACTTCTTAAGGCCCAGGTCCAGAACCTGACACCATGCCACTTCCACTGTTTCCTATTGGTCAAACAGTCACAAAGCCTGGACTCAAAAAGAAGGGCATAAACCCCATTGCTCCAGATGAGGCATGTCAAGTAATTTCAAGGCCATGTTTTAAAACCTCCACATTGTCGGACATCCTAAGTTCCACTGTGGGACAAATAAGTAATTAAACATACAAATGTTAAGTTTAGGAAAGAGGTCAGAGACATACTAACTCAGGAATCATCTATCTATAGATGTAAAGAGAAAACACAGTTCCTGTAATTTTAATGAAGGTTAAGTTTTAGACTCCTTACTTCCAAACTGAAGACCTGTACCTAATTTTGTATTCTTTTTCTTAGAGACCCCAAAATTGTATTCATTTCAGACTCCACAAAACCTGGATCTACCCCTGGGTGATGTTTAAATCTTAATAGTAGATAAGATTATCTGAAGAGACTATATAGAAGGAAAAGAACAATACATTAAAAATGAAAACCTGAAAATGCCAATATTCATAAGGTATGAGAGAAAGAGGAAGGAGTTTATGAATGAGATTTTTAATATGCAGAGAGATAGGAGGGGATCAGGAAGAATTTTGTGACAGAGGCCAATGAGTAGAAAGTTTCAGGAAGGAGTGGCTGGTAAACAGTCTCAAAAAAAGGCATGAAGATCAAAAGAACTAAAAGAAATCTTTTTAAGTGGCACAATGGAGAGCCGTGTGCAACCTTGTCAAAGCTGCTGGAGGGAAAGCAGAAGCCACCTTTCAGTTTGTAGAGAGTCAATGTTCATCAAAAAACTGGGACAGCAGGAACTGTGGCTGAAAAGGCATTTGAAATAGGTGGAGGAATAAGAGAGGCTGGGAAGTAGAAAAACACAACTTCCTGAGACTGTCTTAAGTAAAAATGCAAAGCCTGAACAGTGTTATAACTCTTGAAGAAATTAAAGCAATATTTTAAAATATTCCCACAATGAAAACACTAGGCTGAAATAGCTTCATACAAATTCTCCCAAACTTTCAAAAAAGAAATATCTTCCAAGAAATAGAAAAAGAGGCAATAATGCCCCCAAGTCATTTCAAAAATGAAACAGTGTAAATAAAAGACAGTATACCATGACCAAGTTACTTTTAACCCAGGAATGCAGGGATAGTTCAATATTTGAAAATCTATGATACAATTCTCAGCACATTAACAGCTTTTTAAAAATGACCAATTTAAATGATGCAGGAAAAGCCTCTGATAAAATTCAATGCAATACAAACTCATAGAAGTTGATTGTAAACTCATAGAAGTTTGTATTTCAAGGCTAGAAGCTCAGTAACTCACAGGAAATGTTGAAAGAATACTCTTTAAAATTAGGAATGAGACACTATGGTTACTTCTTGTCAACACTGAATTAAAGGTTACACTGATATCAGATACCTAATGAAACAAGTCTCCCTGGTTTCCTTGATAAGCCTACCTCAGCTGGCTTTGCTAACTCAGTGTTTGCCTAATGCCCACATGCACTTCTTCGTTGGCATCTTCTCAGCATGGGCTGCACAATGCAGTCGCCTAGTCTAAGTCTCCTGATGTCTGAGCACCACCCCTAGAAAGTCTTATTTGATTGATCAAGAGGATAGGACGGGCATCTAGACTTTCAAACTCTCACCAGGTGACTCTAATGCACAGCTCAAGTTGAGGAGCACACAAGAAGGGCAGAGAAGGGTTGGGGAGGGAAGAGTGGAGCAGAGATTCTCAAACTTGGCTGCACACAAAAATCACCTAACCTAAGAAGCTTTCAAAGATCCTGATACCCATTTGGAAACTGGAGTTATAGTTTGTCCAAGAAAAGGTTGTTCCAAAGGTCTATAGCCTTGTTGTAATCTCTGCAGCAGAGATGGAGGAACCAGATTATCCTAACCTGACTCCAGCTGTCAAAACATGACAACCATTCTTGGTCTGAGCCCTTGTTCCCAGAAAATTAATCCCATTATAATTTGCTGTTAATGTGGATTTATTTGCCATCAGGTGTGTGAATGCAATGCCCAGCCAGTGTGAGCAGCTCCCTGAGAACTTGAAATAAAAGGAAATGCAGTTGTATTCAGAGAATTAAACCATAAACTCTACCACAGTAAAGGTGTTCATATACCATATCTGTAGCTATAAACTAGAAAATTGCCTGTAAATAAATGTATGACTAACATTTGGAAACATCTAAAACTTAAGTCAAGGTAACTTGAGTGTAATCTAAGGGAAGTCATACTGGAATGTGATTGTAAACTAAAACTGGCTCAGTTTTATCATATCTGTCCAGAGAAAAATTGTAAAAACAGAAGGGAAGTGGCAAGTGGGTACATAGAAAAGTCAAGTCTAAAGATGTGAAGGTTGTCAGTGTTTATCCAGCTCTGTCCAGAAAAGAGGCATTGAAACTATATACCACATGTATGTTGGTTGTGTAGAGATATATCTTATTGTAGGCTGGTATTAGTAACATCAACTGACATTTACAGAATGCTTACTATGTGCAGAGACCTGTATTAAACACAGTTTTAATACTTCTATAAATCTCTTCAGATTGACATTATACCCATTATAAAAATCAAAACACAGAACCTCAGAAAAATCAAGGTCGCACAAGTATTACCTGATGCATCTTTGATTCAAATCTCAGTGGCTTGAATATAAGAGTCCTGCCTCCACCACTCTGCTAAGCTGCTCCCCTTGCCTTGAAATATCCCTTTAAGGTTACTTAATTTCTTATGCTCTGGTTCTTTGCTCAACAGACAAGATTTTAATCATTAATTAGGATTCCAACATATGCTAATTCTAGAAAGAAATCATTCCATTACAAATGTACTTGCTTTCTCACGTATACATCATCTTTCTTGAGTTTCATAAAAAAAAACTTAAAAAAACTATGTATCTAGATCGCATCCTATACCTACTTTTAAACCAGAATCTCTGATTCAGTAAGATCTCCAAAGCTTTGTTATATGCAGCCAAGGCTGGGAACCACAGGTCTCTACTTTCTCCCTAGGTGATTTCATCAGCTCGCCTGGATTCAATTACTAAACATATGCCAATGGCTTCAAAATCTGTCTATCTTGCCTGTAGTTACCTTCTGAACAAGAATGCTTTGACTCCAACAGCCAGCTCTACCTCTGCTCTTGGAAGCACTAAGGCTCCCCAAAGGCTTAGAGCTTCTCCATCACAGTTGTGTCCACATACCTGATTCTTCCCAGTAGGCAGCAACCTCCACAAGGATATGATGAGAGGCTGTCTGTGAGGACTGAAGCAGAGTTTCTCAAGTCTCCCTTAGATGTAAATAGGAATGTGTCCATATTATTGGCATATCTTGCAAGTGGAAATTAAGAGCCATGGCTAAGAAGAGGAGAGGTACAAAAACAAGAATCCAGGAGAGTGGTGATATTACTGATTTTTAAAGGTTTCTGAGGGCAAAATACAGGGGGGGGATAGGGGTCTGATTCCAATGAAATATACATTAGAAACAAAACATCACTCCCCCCTCTAGAAGTACGAACATGATAGCAGGAACAGAGTCTGTCTCAGGTCCCATCGAACTCTGAACAACATTGCCCAGAAGTGACTTTCCTCACATTTTCTTTCCTCCTTTCCTATCAGTGTAAAAGAGGTAAAAAGGGACTCCCCTGACCCTCACTGGTGAGAAAAGAAATCTTCCCACAGCACTGAAAACCACATGATAAGAAGGGACTTTCCTGCCTAAGTGACAGGATGGGAATCCCCTGCCATAGAGGCATCTAGAAAGTAAGGGATGGCCATCACAAATGGGGTAGATAACACCCAGCCAAGGAAGCCAATCTTTTCTCAGCTCGATCTGTACTTTTCATAAGCTATTTCATTGAGTCTGCATTATTACTCCAATTTTGCAGATGAGAAAACTAAGCTTGTCCATGGTCACCAAGCCAGCAGGCGGTAGAACCCAGGTGTCAGCCCATATATATTAGAATAATTTCAGAATCATTTCTGTTTTCTCCGTGTTACAGGGCACTATCCTGTCTCTGTTATCCACTTATTTTAGAGTTATTTTCCCCTCTTATTCCTATAGTAAGAGCAAGAAGCTTCAAAGAAGGTGGTTTTAAAGGGAAAATTCAAATGACATGGTAAAGGTTGAAAAGTTGTTCTCAAAATGTTTCCAAAATATCCCTTAGTATCCTGAAATAAAAATGAAGCTCATCTTTGATCTCATATCGAAAGTACACAGAATATTACCATGAATTGTTTCCATCCACCACTACCGAGATGGAGGAACCTGGCATTCATGCCTGTAAGCAGTCTGTTACCCCGACTCTGGCCAGCTGGGGAGGCCCCGCAGCCTCCGCCCTGGGGCACACACTGCCCCACCGCTGCCTCAGGTTTCACCAAGCAAAGGTGAAGGCATGTAGCAGGTCCAGTGGCCCTTTATTTGGCCCACCAAATAAAGCCACCTTTTCAGGCCTTCTTAACTGGATCTAAAGTACAAGAGGGCGTCGCTTCCAAGTAAGCAGAAGGCTCTGCATGTCCGGACAAAGCCATGCCGACTCCTCAGTCGCTTCAGCTGGGATTACTCCCTGACTCACTGCTATGCCAATTTATTTTGTTGCTTATATTCATTAGATTAAAATGATATAATTAGGCAGCAAAATGTGGGCTTGTTTGGTGTGCAGCATCGCTCCTGCGTTTTTTGGTCACGTCCCTCTGTTTAAACCTCAGGGGGAAAGGAGACTATTTTTATTCCCATAGTACCTTTCTAGAACAAATTAAATATTGTTTTCTCTCGCTGCCTACTTCATGATCTCACTGCTTTGGGGCTGCATAATGGGAAAGGAACCATTTTAGTAATTGCCATATTGTGACGAGCCATGGGGAGTGTTACAGCTACTGTGTCACAGCACTTAAGTTCCAGTTTATAAGAATAAAAATAGTGATCGAGGGGCATTCACCAATGTATTGTTTTTCATGGTTGGCTCAGTGGTTGACTAAAATGGCCAACGATACACAGAAATAGTCTAAACCTTCATTTCTAATCCATGCACATTTCAGAAGAAGCAAAAGTGAACATAAGGGAAAAATACAGAATGTTCCAGTGCCTTATGAACAACTGGTGCTCAAAAAAATAGTTGTTGATTTGATCTTTAATATGATTTAAGATCCAGCTCTTTTCCAGTTCCCTCAACATTAAAGACTAATGCTTCTTAATGAAAGCAAGTTCTCCATTCCCCAGTGGTCCCCTAGGCACCCTCCGAGCCCCCATTCATCTTTCCACCACCCCGCCTGTCCAACCCTGTAACTAAAATATCATCTTCTTTCTGATTAAGATCTCATACTTCATCATTTAGCAGCTCCTGAAAGCCTACATTCTCCTGAGAAATGCCTTTAATCTATCTCCCTACATACACACCCTATCAGGTAATTCCTGTGATTTCTTTTCTCACAACACCCCACAAAATTTATGTACTTCTTTACCCATGGGTAACAAAAAATGTATTCTGTATGTTTGTTCCTTGTTCTTCAATTGTTTTTCCCCATAACTATACAGGAGGAAATACAGTAAGAAAGCAGGAATCCATCTGCTGTGTTACAGAGAATCTCCACACCCAGTTTAGCATCACCACCTACAGTGTTAGTTGTATGGCATTTAAGAGAGGCTAGAGACTGAAAACTTGTTATTTCAGTATCACAAGCAAGAACAAGGTGTCCCTGCCTGCCTGTCGGTCCTCACTAGTTTTGTAGGCATAGGTCACCCTCATCTATGCCCTTAAGAAATTATCAGAGAATGGCTGAAGAGAGAATCAGGCAGAATAATCACTTTTTAGAAATGTAATTCACTCATCATACTCACCATATCAAGAATGCCATTAAGGGGCTCCCTGCCCAAACCAGCCAGGTTCTAGGGCTTTCACTTTGTTGTCATTGTTGTTCTGCTACATTACCTTGAGCTTTTATAAACTCATCTCAGTCCTTTCCAAAGTGAGTCAGCTTCTTCCGTCCCACTCGTGAATTGTGCGATTTATTGGGATCCAGGCCGAATGGCAGCCAGATAAACAAAGTCCCACATACGTCTTTTACATGCCCAAGAGGGGACCTGCCTGGTGTGCCCTGACCATCTGCCATCCACCCATCCATCCACACAATTATGTTAATAGCCTACAGTGCATTGCCTTGGGCATCAAGGGTACCATCTGAAGCAGGGCAGGTAAGGGCCCATTTTATAAAAATTACCCTGTAAGACATAAGCCCCCTTCCTGGTCTCTAGACAAAGTATCAGAAGAAACATAGCTGTGTCCTTTTATAGACTTTTTATCTTTATACACAGCTTCATTGGGACTATATTGGTTCCATTCATTAGCTCTCTCTTCCCCTCTGCAACATGAAAGAATCAGGCAAAATAATACCACTGGTTTGTACAAAGTGCCCACTTCTAGACTCTATTTCATAAATCTATGCCCAGCTCACATATGTGGGAATAGAATGTGACCACAAAGCCAGTCAAAACCAAGAGACATGTCCCAAATTCAACTGGATAATATTTTAATATGTGTAGAAATTGTGGATTGTCTAGAGAAGAAATGTGTTAGAAGAATGCATGATTCCCTCCAGTTCAAAGTCCTTTAGAGTGAGATGCAAATACATTTACATATTTTAAGAACCAAAGAAATAGAAAATCCAATCAAGCACGGTTGCTAAGCCCCTTCCTTAGCTTGGTACAAGTACATGGTACAGATTACATATCTAAAAATCTTAGTTAAATAGCAAGACTTTGTTTTAGCTTGGTACAGCTAGATCCTGCAGATTATACATCTAATGATCAGTTAATAACAGACTTTCCATATAAAAAAAACTAGGAAAATTTAGTTGAATCCAGTTGATATCTGCTATGAGATCACTCCATATGGGAGCCATTTATTTAGCAACCATGAAAAGGGGCTGCTCAATACCATTTCAGTCCTAGATGAGGACTTACTTATGCCCAAGCCAGGGTCTCCAGTCATTAAACATCTTCAAAAAGCTGAGAAGGCAAGTCTCAAAATCAAGTGGTAAGGGAACCCTCAAAATTCATCAGGATAGCACATTTTTTCCCATATGGATAAACATCTTTAATTCCCTGGAATTTTTTTAATTGAATAATTGTTCAATAAAATCAAATGTGTCATAGGTATAATTTTATATTAAGAGATATGAGTATATTTGGAACTTAAATATTCACATGAGAATTTGGCCTCTTCAAGTAATAGTTCCCTTGTAATTCCCATCTAAAATACACAACTGAGTTATTGGTTTAAAGTTGTAATTGTAAAAATACTACAACATTGGAAGATTTAAGAGATTTTCATGTTACCATATCTGTGATATGATTTGTTAGATTTATAACAGTTACTTATGCACTTAGGAAGGGTTTGTTAGTTAAAGTAATCAGTGTCTAAAAGGAAAATCAAGCATATTTAATTTTAAAGGAAACTTTTAATGTTTCAGTTTATTCAGTTAAGCTTGTAAATGGAACAAGTACTAGTCAAAGACCCCCTTAAAAGTGATGGTTAAAATTTACTGGATTTGTAAATAGAAAAATAAGATTTTAAAAATTGTTAACTGAATTTAAAAGCTTAAAAAAGAGTTACATTCATGGATTTATAACAATTAATTATTAATTTTTAAAACAAAAATTCAGTAATCTCTTCTGCTCACAAAAGCTATGTTAAAGGATATTTTTAAAACATTTAACAACATCCTTGAGAACTTAGGGCTTGAACTGGGAGAAAGAATTATGCTCAACAGAAAAGGCAGAAAAAAGTATATGCTATATGGCTCAGAGTTAACACTAAATCAGACCTTTTCTGTTACCTTCTGTTATCTTCCAGTAAATGCAGGAGAAATGCTGCAAGATAATGTGCATGAAGCAGATCAGAATTATTTACCTATTTATTGACTGCCTACTCTGTGTTTAACATTATGGGAAAATACCAAAGTATATGAAGTTTGTTATCTAGTGAGGCAGGTAAAATGCACAAAACTGAAGCAATTAGAGAACAGAATGATTCCGTTCAATAAGCAGTTCTTGAGAACCAGCCTTGCAAGAGATACAGTGATTGGCTTGGGGAGGTGGTGGGGAGGGGTTGGGCTCAAAACAATGAGCTTTATAATTAAGTGCTAAATTGCATATTGCCAAAGTCAAGTGAGAAGCATTCAAAGAGAGACACCACAGTATATTAGAATAGCAGAGATTTAAAGAGGAGGAAAGAATTGATCTGGGCTTTGATGGATGAAAAGGACTGAAATAGGAAAAGGTGGGCAGGACTGGGAGGGAGGGAGCGGTGCTATGACCCTGCAGAGGAACAACAAAGAAGCCAGCAGAGCAGAGAGGCTTC